TGATTTTTACACAAGTTTTCAGGTAATTAAAGATCAACTTTGATTAAAGTAATACAAGTGATAAAAACAATCAATGGTTCAGGAAAGTCAGAAGAAAACAGATAGATTAATAAAATAAAAGAAAACAAACTAAACAAGGAAACAGTATCACTAGAAACAAAGAAGATGATAGAGGAATAGATAACAAACAGACAAGGTCTCTTTAATTAGTTTGGAGCATTTGTAAATATTAATTTGAGTAATAAATCTATGTATGCCAGAATATATAAAGCTATCCTTGAACTTCAAAAGTTCAAGGGGGATTAAACTATGCTGAAGATGCTAACACTGTAAATGTTTAAATTCTTCTTCGGTCAATGGAAAACACTGACAGTGTGACAATATGTATCAGGAACCAAGATATACTTACATACAAAGAAATTTCAGAGGGAACAAATTATTGCTAAATGTACGAAGAGTAGGGAACCAAAAGTTATCATTAATTTATGAAATGACATAGAACTGAAAGAGGCCATTTGGCCCATCATGCTTGGGTAAACTCTTTGGTAGTGATGACTGATTATAATCCCATTCCCCATATTTTTGTGTAGTTGTTAGTTTTATTTTGCTATATCAATTACTCAATTCTTTTCAAAACATTAGTATTGAATCTGCTGTCATTATATTTTTGGATCGTGTGTTCCAATCACAAAACTAATTTTTTTTCCATGTTGCCTCTTTTGACATTCACTGTAAATCTGTGTGCAATGAGTATTAACTATCGGAATGTTTCTCCTTAAAAAACACTTAATTATTATGAAAACTACTTTTAAATCTCCTTTTAATGTCTTTGCTGAAAGAAGAACAACCCCATCTTCTCCAGCCTCTCCATTTACTTAAGTTCCTTAATACTAGTACAATTTGAGTGAACTTCATATATCTTTGCTGTACCCTTTCTGAGGCCTAAAGGACAATGCCTAGAATAGAACGCAATATTCTATCTGACAAATTGACATTTTTTTTAAAGATCTAGCATAATGTCCATTCTTTTGTTCATGATGCCTCTATTAATAAAAGTCAAAGATAACACATTTAACACTCTTCTGAATTTTAACCACTTGTTCAAAGTTCTTTCCGCTCTTACTCTTCTGAAATTGAAGCATTCAATTGCTATTGACTCTCCTACTCTTCTTAACAAAATCACTGCATTGTATGATCTGCCTTTTGTCTGTGGATTTCACCACAGTATGTCCTTCTGATGTCTGTTAACATGCCTGTCAATGTTTGTTACCTTACGAATTCCATGTCATCTGCAAACTTTGTAAATAAGACCTATGTGCACAAGTTCAATTTATTCATATTAATTACAAAGAACAGTGGTCCTAATATTGACCCCTAAGGAACATCATTATGTACTGTTTCTTAGTCTGAAAATCAACTATTCATCACAAAACACAGGTTTAGTCTAAGGAGAATACTCAGATTTCAGATGAAGTCAAGGATAAGAGGCATATATTACATTAAAATGCCTAGAATGCACACATAATCATCGAAGGTATTTTTGAAATTAATTGTCAGGGGACCAATATTGTTGGCAAGGCAAGCATTCATTGTCTATCATTGAGATTCCTGAGAAGGTAGTGATGGGCCTTCCTTTTGAATCGCTGCTGTTTATCTTGAACAGGTGTTCCAACAGTGCTGTTAGGTTGAGTTTTGGGATTTTGATAGAGTAATGATGAAGGAACAGCAATCTATGTCTAAATTGGGATGATATATGATTCATATGGATCTTGGAGGTGATAGCGTTGCCATATACCTGCTGCCTTTCTAGTTGGTGAAGGCTGTATGTTTGCTGCTGAAGAAGTGGCTGGCAATTGAATTTCTGTGCTGCAGCATGCTGACAGAACAGAGCAGACAGTGCACTGGTAGTGGTGCACTGGTGGAAGGATTATTTAGTCAACTGTTAGAGGTGCATATCAAATGTGTTGCCTTATCCTGTATAATGTGAAACTCCCTGGATGTTGCTGCAACTGCACCCAACCCAACATTGAGGATGAAGTCAAGAAGCTGTTCCACTTTGTTGGTTCACTCACTGGCTTCAACAAGTTTGACAGTTATGTTCATCAGCACAGTTTTAGAATAAAGGGTCAATCATTTTGAACTAAGATTAAGAAAATCTTTTTCACTCAGAGGGTTGTGAACCTTTGAAGATCTCAAGTACAGCAGGTTGCCAATGTTCCATCACTTGAATATAGTCAAAGCTAGGATAGAGGCCTGGTGTGAAGTGGCAGCAGTCAGACCACATGGAGGTCCCCTGTGTGGTCTGCTGCAGAGAGCCCTTGGAGAGAGACTATGAAGTTTGTCTTTTTAATTCTTCTTCATGCTTTTATAGACCCATGGTTATGCTGTGTATAGCTGTAACATAGCTTTTTTTCCTGTAACTAAAGATTGTACTTAGGTACTTTGTATCTAAGATAGCACTTTGTGTTGGTGATATTATTACACTATAACTAATCCGTAACTGAAGAAGCTGTACCTTTGTACCTAAGATGCACTGTAAGAGGTGACTTATAAACTTTTCACTATACTCATTTGAGTACATATGGCAATAAAGCTAATGCAATTCAATTCAGATGGATTTTAGATTCTCAGGAAATCAAGAGATAACAGGGAGCAGACAGCAAACTGCAGTTAAGGCTGATAGCCATGATTAAACTGAATGGCAGAACAGGCACAATAGGTTATAAAGTCAACTCCTCACTTCTTATGTTCTAAGTATTTGGTCACTTTTGGTGCATTGACATTAAAGTACTTCACTGAGTGCAATATCTATGCCCTTGTTTCCTTAACATTTTCTCCAAGTGGTGTGCAATATGGAAGAAATACTGCTTCATGGTTGTAACTGCCTAATAAAATGGCACATTTCACCTATCTGACCTTCACATTGGTTTTAATAGTTATAGATGTAAAACACTACTCCTATTCTCTTGGACAATGGTAGTAGAGAGGAATCCATCAGAACCATTGGGAGTGGAACAGGGGTTGGGTGATGTTTGAGGAGAGAATTCACAACTGTGAGTGTTGTGAATTCCCATTTATTCACTTTCCACATTACTAGCCATGGCAGCCTTTCATTTGCCAGGTTTTCTTTGCTTTTTCTTCTGTCTTTCTATTAAGTATTTTGCAGCCACTAATCAGCATTGTCCTCTATCCTATCACAGACCTCCCTTAGTGATAGTAAGAACTGCTGATGCTGGAGTCAGAGATAACACAGTGTGGAGCTGGAGGAACACAGCAGGACAGGCAGCATCAGAGGAGCAGGAAAGTTGATGTTTTGGGTCAGGACCCTTCTTCTGAAGAAGGGTCAACTTTTCTGTTCTTCTGATGCTGCCTGGCCTGCTGCGTTCCTTCAGCTCCACACAGACCTCCCCTACTTTGTTCTTTCCTTTCTTGTTGATTTTCCCTGGCTTTGTACGTGTTTAAAGATTGTTAATCTTTACTTACCACTTAACAGTCCCATCATCTGACTATTCAGCATTATTTGTGACTTCTCAGGTACTGAAGTAGTCTGTCTTTATCCAGCAAGACCTGGACAATATTTAGGCTTAGGCTAATAAGTAGTAGGTAAAATCCATGCCATAAAATTTCCATGTACTGACCATCTTCAATTTAACCATCTCCCCTTGACATTCAATGGCATTCTAATTGCTGAATCCCATTCTGAAAATTACCATTGATCAGATATTGAATGGACCAGCCATTTAAATTCAGTGGCTATAAGAGCTGATCAGAGTTTCAAAATTCTGAGGCAAGTAACTCAACTCCTGACTCCCTAAAACATGTCCACCATCTATGCCACACATCAGGACTGTGATGGAAAACTCTTTACTTACCAGGATAAATGCAATTGTAGCAACACTCAAGAATTTTCACACCATCCAGGATAAAGCATCCTACCCGACTGTCACCGCATTCATCACTACCAACATTCACTCCCTCCACCAGCAATGCACAGTGGCAACAATGAGCCATTTACAAGATGCACTGCAGCAGCTCACCAATGTTTCTCTGACAGCACCTTCCAAAACTGCAACTTCTACCAACTAGAATGACAAAGACAGCAAATAACTGGGAATGCCTCCACTGGCAAGAACACATCCAAGCATCCACCATCCCACTTAGAGCTATATCACTGTTCTTTCACTATCACTGAAGCAAAATCCTGAACTCTCTTCCTAGTAGGTGCACCTATCGTACATAGACTTTAACAGTTCAAGACAGTGGCTCACAACTACCTCAAGGGCAATTAGGGTTAAGAATTGAATGCTGCCCTTGCCAGCAACAACTACGTCATATGAAAGAATAAATAAGAGACATATCTACTATGTACTTCTAATGCAAGGTCATCAACCCACAATGTTAACTCAGGTTTTTCCTCTCCACAGATGGTGTCTGACCATTTAAGCATTTTCCAGCATTTCTGTCCTATATATTTTTAAAATTGTTGACCACCACAGGGTCAGCAGTACCCATTCTGTGTCTTTACCATATCATCTGCAACACTGAGTGTTTCAGTGATAAAATAGGATGTTCTATTGAAAGGTTACTTTTAGATTTACCCTACAGCTCAAAGCCTGCTTTTCCATCAAATATATAGAATGCACAGGTATTCTGCTTTGAACTTATAAGCATTTGTCCAATGCATCTAAAGAGTCATATTGGACTTAAAACATTAATTCTGTATCGTCACAGATGCTTTGAGACCAGTTGAGTTTTTCCAACATATTCTACTTATTGCTCAAAGCACTGTTAACACGAATGTGAAGAACTGCAATTTATTGGTATGTGTGTAAAATTAAAGACTTTAGGAACAATGATATAATCTGTTCTACAATCAGAAGATTGTTCCTTGAAATTTTAACATCTGGTTGAGTGTATTATTTCCTTTCTTGTCAATGGAACTGCAGTCTGTGTTTTTATGGAGGTGTAGACATTGACTGATTTCTGACAAATCTTACACGTGGTTTACTGCAAATTTAGCTTTAATATTTGTTGCCAGAAATTACAAGAATCTATAATTAAGGAAAGAGTGATTGAAAACCTTGAAGATTTTCACCTGCCAGAGAAAGCCAGCATGGAGTTATCAACAGCAGCCCAGCTTCAGCTTTATAAAAACACACTTTAAATATTGTACAGTGTAGACAGTTCTTGCAGTCCATAGTTAGAATATAATGGTCTTGTAGGAAGTAAGAACAAACAGATTGATAACTGGGGTCCAAGGGTTACAAAACCAAGAAAGATCGGATAAAATAGAGTTTTGTTCCCATGAAGTGATAAAATGATTGATCTAATAGTGTAGGTAGATACTTTTATTTCCACTGGTTGGCAGTTTAGGCCTAGGGTATATAACGTAAAAATTAGAATAAGACCTTTCAGGCATAAGGACATTTGGATCTCCCTACTGGAAATAGTGAATTCCAAATTAACTGTTAATTTGAAATTGAATATTGATAGATTTTTATTAAGCAATAAGCGCTATGCAATATGAGAAAGGCATAAATGGAAATAGGACACAGATCAGCCATGATTTCAATGAAAGGCTGAAAATCTCAAGGTATTAAATGGCTAGAAGATGTTGCTATGTATCTATTCAACAAGAACTGCCTCATGTTTCAACAACTGAACAAGATTAAAACCATCCATGATGTTGCCATAAATAAGATTGCTGCACATTCTTTGAGACTGACAGAGTCTTCAGCTTGGTATGTTGTTTCTGGAACATGCTGTGTTATTGCTGTAAATCTCTCCATTCACATCAGGCAAAATGTCTTGAAAGATACTATGTGTGGAATAGAGGCCCAATTCATCTCCCTCATTATCTCACTTTCTTAATTTTGCTCACTGTTATAGTTCAAAAATTTTTTTTTTCTTCATATTCTTCCGATGCTACCTGTAGATTTCTAGGAAAGAAAGATGCAAGGTAAGAATGAATAGAAACTAGCAGTTTAGCATTAAGAAGAAAAATAGAAAGCAGAATAGATGCAAAAAAATAGGAAACATATGGCACGTGATGCTCTGTTAATGTGGTGTTAACAATATATTACAGTCCTCTCATTTCTCTTGCCCAGATCAGATTGCCAACTTACCATTCCAGTGCACATCCCTATTCGTATATGAACTCTTTTCAAGTTGCGGATGGCCCCTTTAGCTGCACTGTTTCCTGAAACAAATAATTGAGGAGTGTAAGCCAAGTTTTGAGGGAGAAATTATGTAAGCAATGTGGGAGTACTACCCTGTTAACATGGAGGGAAGAATTCTAAGGTTATGCATACAATCAATAGCTGGATGGTGCTGTGGGTCTATCAAACCTTGAATGCTTCAAGCAGATCTGATTGCCAAGAATGGGAGTACATGAACGGAAGACATGCAGGTGGTAGAGGCAGAGTGAAAAAGAGCCACCTTAGTGTGCCCTAGTATCAAGTATCTAAATTCCAGATGCAATGGTTTATCATTTTGAAAATAAGACATTTCAAAATGATATGACTGAGGCAGGTAAGATAATAAGGAATTGGAAAAGGCAATTTAGAAATGATACTTTCAGCAAAAGGGACACGTTTAACCATATGAAGGGTAAGCTTATCACAGAAGTAAACTATTGCAAACTCCGAAATTTAAAAAAAACACAGAAAATCCTGGAAACATTCTGGCAGCATTTTGGGAGAGAGAAAAGAATTAATACAACTTTCATCAAAAGTTAGAAACATCATAGTTCTTGAAAAAGTTAAATGGAAAAGAGTAGGAAAAAGAATGGCATGGTGGCTCAATGGTTAGCACTGCTACCTCACAGCATCAGGGACCCAGGTTTGATTCCACCCTCGGGCAACTGTCTGTGTGGAGTTTGCACATTCTCCCCGTGTCTGCGTGGGTTTCCTCTGGGTGCTCAGGTTTCCTCCCAAAGACCAAAGATATGCAGGTTAGGTGGATTGGCCACACTAAATTGCCCTGAGTGTTCAGGGATGTGCAGATTAGGTGGGTCATGGGTGGGATGCTTCAAGGGTCAGTGTGGACTTGTTGGGCTGAAGGGCCTGTTTCCACACTGTTGGAATTCAATGAAATACATCTTTCAGACCAGGCAAAAATAAATTATATTAAAGGGCCTGTTTCCACACAGTAGGGATTCTGTGAAAGAAACGCCTGCAATAAAATGGAACGAAGCGTTGATTAAATGACAACGTTTTTCAGGGTTTCGGGCCGAAGTGAAGAAACAAATATATCTGGAGGTGGTGTGAATGGCAGGAATAGGTGCTAACTGAAAGCAAAAAATAAAGAGAGAAACAAGAAAAAGAATAAAGAAGCAAATCTAAAATTATTGAGTTCAATGTTGAATCCAAATGGCTGTGCAGAGGCCAGTCGAAAGATAGGCTGTTTTTCTTTGAAATTACTTTGAGTTTAATCATACATTGCTCAACGCTGGGGATAGAGAAGCAAGCATGAGAGCAAGGTGAAGAATTAAAATGACAGACAACTGAGGACTTCAGGAAAATAGGCTTCCTGCAAAATGGTTATCAAATGTGAACTAGGTCTCCCTAGTATAGAGGCGAAATTTGTGAGCAGCAAATACAGCACACTAAATTAGGATAAAGTACAAGTGAATTGCTGTTTCAATTGGATGCAAATGTTCAGGCTCTGCAAGGTGAGAAGGGTTGACTGTATCTCCTGCATTGACATGATGAGGTACTGTTGTTGGTGACTGAGAAATGGACTGGGTATCATAGAGGAACTGCCCTTCAGATTGCTGAAAGGAAGGAGGGCTTGTAACTTTGAATGTTGTTAGAAGCTCCTCATGCAACACTTGGAATGAACTTTCAGAGAGCACAACAAAGGAAAAAAAACAAGAATCATTCAATAAAAATTAACAGAGCAATAGGAGAGCTAATGGCGGCTTTTACAGATTGTGTTACCTTGTGGTAATTATCTTGTAATCATTTAAATCAGGAGGGAGACCTATATTAAAACATCAACATTTAGGCATGGTACATAACCTTTTTGCTACCAATAAATCCTGTTATAAAAAAAAGTTGAGGAAGACTTTCCATTTTTAAGTCTTTTATTATTAAATTTTAGTGTATAACACACTATCCGAACTGATGGATCAGTCTGTTTACTTTTATTGGTAAGGGTCATGATGTTAATTCTTCCAAGAATATAATGTAATTTATATTCAATTTGTTCAGAACATTAAAGACCATAAGACATAGGAACATAATTAGGCCATTCAGCCCATAAAGTCTTCTCCACCATTCGATCATGTCTCTCAACCCCATTCTCCTGCCTTCTCCCTGTAACCCTTGATCCCCTTAATAATCAAGAATCTATCTATCTGTCTCTGTCTTAAATACAATCAATGACTAGGCCTCCACAGCCCTCTGTGGCAATGAGTTCCATAAGATTAACCACCCTCTGGCTGAAGAGATTCTTTCTCATCTTAATTCTAAAGACTCATCCTTTTGCTCGGAGGCTATGCCCTCAGATCCTAGTCCCTCCTTCTATTGGAAGCGTCTACTCCTTGTCCACTCTGTCCAGGTCTCTCAGTATTCTGTAAGTTTTAATCAGATACCCCCCCTTATCCTTCTAAACTCCATTGAGTATGGACTCAGAGTTCTCAAACCCCCTCATATGACAAGCCCTTCATTCCTGGGGTCATTCTCGTAAACTTCCTCTGGACCCCCTTCAGTGCCAGCACATCCTTCCTTAGATATGGAGCCTAGAATTGCTCGCAATATTCCAAATGCAGTGTGAACAGAACCTTATACAGCCTCAGCAGTACATTTCTGCCCTTGTATTCTAGACCTCTTGAAATGAATGCTAACATTGCATTTACCTTCCTAACTGCAACATAACCTACACGTTAACCTTAAGAGAATCATAGAATCCCTACAGTGCAGAAGCAGGCCAATCAGCCCATCATGTCCACGCTGACCCTCCAAACAGCATCCCATTCAGACATCCCCCCAACCATATCCCTGTAACCCTGCATTTCCCATGACTAATCCACCAAGCCTGCACATCCCTGTACACTATGGGCAATTTAGCATGGCCAGTCCACCTAACTTGCACATCTTTGGATGATGGGAGGAAACCAGAGCACCCAGAGGAAACCCATGCTGACATGGGGAGAACGTGCAAACTCCACACAGACAGTCGCCTGAGGATGAAATCAAACCCAGGTTCTAGCGCTGTAATGCAGCAGCGCTAACCACTGAATCCTGAATGAGGACTCTTTCGTCCCTATGTACTTTAGATTTCTGAAGCATTGACCCTTTTAGAAAATAGCCCATGCCTCTTTTCTTCCTATTAAAGTGCATAACCTCAAACTTATGCACATTGTATTTCATCTGCCACTTCTTTGCCCACTTGCCTAGCATGTACAAGTCCTTCTGCAGCCTCCCCACTTCCTCAACCTTACCTCCTCCTCCACCTATCTTTGTGTCATATGCAAACTTAGCAATAATGCCCTCAATTCCTTCATCCAGATCATTAATGTATAAATTGAATAATTATAATCCCAACACTGACCCCTGTGGAAATCCACTTGTCATCGGCTGCCACCCTGAAAAAGAAACTCCTTTATCCCTCTACTCTGCTTTCTGCCATTCAGCCAATCCTCTATCCATACAAGTACCTTGCCCCTAACACCATGGGCTCTTATCTTATTTAACAGCCACAGGATATCCAAATAGATCACATCCACTGGCTCTCCATTGTCTAACTTGCTCATTACTTCTTCAAAGAATTTTAACAGATTTCGCAGGCACATCTCACCTTGAAGCCATGCTGACTCAGTCCTATATTACCACACACTTCTAAGTACTCCGCAATCTTATCCTTAATAATGGAACCCAAAATCTTATCAACGACTGAATTCAGGCTAACTGGCCTATAGTTTTCTGTTTTCTGCCTTCCTCTGTTCTTAAACATGAGTGTTAGAATAGCCATTTTCTAGTCCTCTGGGACTCTCCCTCACTCTAGTGAGTCCTGAAAGATCACCGTCAATGCCTCCACTATCTCCTCAGCTATCTCCTTCAGAATCCTGGGGTGTAGTCCATTTGGTCTGGGTGATTTATCCGCCTTCAGATCTTTCAGCTTCCCCAGCACCTTCCTGTTAGTGTTGGCCACTACATTCATCTCTGACCCCTGTATCTCTTGAAGTTCTGGTATGTTGCTGCGGTGAAAACTGTGAAAACTGATGCAAAGAACCTATTCAGTTTCTCTGCCATCTTTTACTCCATTAGTACTTCTCCAGCCTCATTTGCTAGCAGCCCAAAGTCCACTCTTGCCTCTTTCTTATCTTTTGAATATCTAAACGAACACTTGCAATCTCCTCGTCTAGCTTACTCTCATATTTCATCTTCTTCCCCACCTCCCCAACCCCATTGCTTTTTTAGTTATCCTCTGCTGGTTTTTAAGGGCTTCTCAGTCCTCTGGCTTCCTACTAATTTTCACCACATTGTATCTTTTTCCTTTTGCTTTTATGCTATCCCTGACTTTCCTTGTCAGCCATGATTGTTTCATCCTCCCTTAGTATGCTTCTTCCGTGGGATGAACTTTTCCCCTGCCTCCCAAATAACTCCCAGACACTCCTGCCTTTGCTGCTCCACTGTCTACCCTGCTAGGCTACCCTTCCAATCAACTCTGACCAGCTCCTCCTTCACATCTTTGTCGTTACCTTTGCTCAATAATAATACCGTACATCTGATTCCAGCTTTTCCCTCTCAAGCCGCAGGGCGAATTCTATCATATTATAGTCATTGGTCCCTAGGGGTTCCTTTACCTTCAGCTCCCTAATCAAGTCTGCCTCATACACATGACCAAATCCAGAATTGCCTGTCGCCTTGTGGGCTCTACCACAAATTGCTCCAAAAACCCATCTCATTCCATGAATTCCTTTCCTTGAGATCCATTACTAAACTGAATTTCCTAGTCCACTTGCATATTGAAGACCCCATGATTATTGTAATTATGCCTTTCTTACATGTCTTTTCTATCTCCCGATCTATTTTTTGCCCCACATCCTGACTACTGCTTGGAGCCTGTATAATCTCAGGCATCAAGGTCTTTTCCTTTGGAGTTCTCACAAGATTCAATACTTCTCAATTCTATATCACTTTTTGTTATTGATTTAATTTTATTTCTTACAAACAAAACAAACCCTCCCCTCAC